ATTGTGAGCGTATTCACGACAGACACTGAACTAAAAGCGATAACATAAAAAGTGGACCTGCGGCAAAAGCGGATCGAAAGTGCCTTTTTGCGGTCGACATGTTCAAGAAACTAGACGATACAGTTAATTCGCCGCATAATTGCTCCTTAAAGGTATTCGATACAATATTATTCGACATTTTTTTTTATTTACTTTTTTCGAAAATGATTGCTTTGATATATTGTCAAAGGTCATTGAACCTAGCTATCGTGGTATAGCACTAAGTAGTTCATAGAGTTCGTGTTATAAAATTCAATAATGTTGTTTGAACCATTCTCTATTACTGTTTTTCATGTATATAAATTATAACACGGCTAAACTCACGTGATAACATTCGGTGTAGGCACCGACAGTTTCGAACCCGTTGGGGGTCCTTCTTCAGGGTGAGTGATTAATCGGGTATACTCGCTATCGCTTCGCGACGGTCACTGCGTGCCGCGTGCGTGTGTTGTTCATGTATTCGTCCAATATTGAAAGAAGAAAGATTTGTTTGTTTCTGAAATCACTGAACCGTTCATGATAACTTTCACTGGTCGAAAGTAAATAGACCAGAAGTACTAGGCTATAATTTTTTACGTGCAATATTTAAATTTACCCGGGCGACGTCGGGCATCAACACATAGAAGTAAACGCGAAATATGTGTAAAACATAGTCACGATATATAATCAATTGCACGGTGCGTTTCCATTAGCCACTAGAAATAGGCATTGCTTCCACTTCACGCCTGTTTTTTGTGTGGTCGTAGTATTACACCTGACGAGCCCATTTGTGCAAAGATGTTAAAGCGAGCTCTACCACAGTGGATTCATATCCATAACAAAATTGATTTATTAATTTCTCTCTAATACGTGAACAATGGAAATCATTATATTTATATAGATTGCAATACAATGCGTTATGATAGAGTGAAACGTTGTTTTCACTTTTTATGATCGCATGACAAGTTTGAGTTAAGAAAGCCTCGTGTAGAATTAAGCGTATAAAGGCAGTGTTACGAAAATTAAACCGCTACTAATTGCTTAAAGCTTGCGTAAAAGCGCGTTAAATGATTTGAGAAATGTATTTTTCTTAACGTTAAGGGAGCGGTTATGTAACTAATTAAGTAATTGTTTACACTTGTATACTTGTTTGCAATTTATACATGAATCGCTTGTATTTGTAGAAGCTTTAGTTTTAAATGTATTATAGTATAGACTTTATATTATAAACTTTTAACGAAAACACGTGATTGGACCATATTAAGGTAGTACTGGAAAAACATTATAAAAGTATAACTGATTCACTAGGAATTAAGAAAATAGGTGTTTTAATATTTCTGCGTTTATACATATGTAATTGTGAGTTAATGGTTGATAGTTTATATACACTGTCGTAGGCAAATGGAAGAATAATGTCAGTTATTTCCTGTACATACTGTCATAAAAGAAATAATGAAGCCAGCTGTCTTGGCACTTAGCTAAGTGTGATAACATTTTATTCAACGGTATTATTTATCGAAGACGAAAATTTGAACGAAGATGATCGACAGCCAACATTAAAAAAATGTATAAAAATTCACCGGTTTACAGAGATTTTATATAAGAGATGGCAAACGGGCGGAAACCGAGGTGCTCATCGGCGTTCATCGACATCCACAACACCAGAAGTTCTTGACACAGAAGATGCCTTGATTAACTGATTCGTTCGCTACTTGGACACACCTTTAGATAACTTGTTCATCATTAAACTCTCGTAATCATACTTCATACTAATATTATAAATGCGAAAGTTTAGATGGATGGATGTTTGTTTGAGTTTGTAGCCTAAACGGCTGAATGGATTTCGATGATATTTGGTATGATCCAGAAGATACTCTGGTAGAACACATAGGCTACTCACTTTTGTTTTTTTTGTAATTCCACGCGAACGGAGTCGCGGGCGAAATCTTGTAATATAATAATTGCTGTTAACAATTTTTTTGCTTTGCATTTAATTTCGTACCCAGCAATTGATTCCTTAGGAACGTAAAATCAGACTTGATTGCTGCAATGTAATTCCAATAGAGCGCCCGGTGTTTGTAGGCTGTTCCTATACAACTTGTTTAAATGTCGGACGTTCTAGTTACGATCTTTGTAGGCTTTGCAATCATGTGCCGTATGGTTTGTTTAAAAGAAAGACCTACATCTGCCATTAAAGGCATTTTTACTTAATTGAAACACAAGTTTAAACGTTTTTATTAGCAGATTTAGTTTGAAAAAGAGCAGAGGTAGTGCTTAGTAATGTTTTTTTGTTACGAATACGGTTTCCAATGTTGGCATTACTGATTTAGCAACTTTACAGAATTATTTTCTAAATCGTTTGATTTTTATTTGCATTTCGGATGTATCAAGATATCTAGGTTGAGATCAGATTATCTCGTAAATGACAGGTGATATGTTATCACATTTCGTAGAAGTTGTTGTAACACTTGTTTTCTGCTGATATAAATCCCTTATCGATTTTTATCGTTTTTATGTCTTATACGTTGCCCTATTAGTATACTTTAGTCCATTCAATTATTTTTTAACGTGGACTGAAGTTTTTAATTTGTCAACATTAGTCACATTTAAATAGGATAGTAGTCATAGAAATATGAAAGAGGCTCGACTGACGGTAGATTAAAGATTTTAACAAAAATTCATATATAGCCTTTACTGCTTCATTAAAAATTTAACCGATTTCATAAGTAAATAGACATTAGATCTACCTATACAAAGCTACTTGACACAATATTGTGGCACCGCATATATCCCCCAGCAAAGGTATCCGTGTCTGTTGGCGACCGGTTTGCTTGTGTAGTTTAGCACGAGGACAGGATAAATAAGTAGTTCAGTAATGCTATTGGTTTGACGTGTACGTTGAAAGAGAACACAACTGATCGTACGGTAAGTGGTCGTTTATACAATAGTAGTACTGCAATGTCTACTGCACTGTTAATCTGCTGTCCTCGTGTGAAAGCGTAACACTCCACTGACGCACTTAGTATCGCAGATTATCTCTGCTACCACCGAATAGCGGATATCGATAATAACCTTCCCAGTAATTACGATACAATTAAAAAGCTACTGTATTGGAACTATGATAGTGTTATCATTAGAACTATGTGTCACTAGGAAAGGTGGTAACTGATTGCTTTTTTATGAAAAAAAGCAGATTTTTGTTAATTCACTAATGATTCTTTTACCATCCCAACTAAGATTTAGGCTTGTGCTAGGAATTTTATGACAGTATTGAAATGGCGGGTTTCGAACCCTCGACCACGTGATTGGTAATCCATTCCCCTAATCATTAGGCTATTGGCGCTTGGTTAACTCATGGTACGAATAATTTTACTGTCGGTCTTAAAAACCTGGGTTTAGAAAAAACTATGACGTTATAATCGGAAAAGCTTTGTTTCAATACATTCTTGTGGTCAATAGCAAAGGCGTTTGTCATGTTTCCGTATCTATTTATAAGAGGACGTCGTATTTCTCAAGTTTCATAGGTAATTTAATGATCATTCAGTCAATTTTAATTTATCTTTCAATGAATTAAACAATTGTCTGTAATAATTTTTCTACTATATTCAGTAACTTTTTTTTATCTTTTTGTTTGCCTTTAGTAGCCTCTTGTGTACAGAAACTGTGACGTTATTGTTTGAATACGTTCGCTAAATGTGATAGCATTAAAGGTTCGCGTTTATCACACACACGTGTGTACATGACGCGTTGTGTAATTGCACGTGCATTACGTTTATGGTCTTATAATTAAAAATAATTAAATAAAGAATGAACTATCAACGTACGTTATATCAAAGAATCATTTGATAAATGTGATTCGTTTTCAATACGATGATAAACTTTCTGTTCCGGGAAGTTTAGATAATTAAAGGAAACGTGAAATTATATCGTAATATTGTTTTCTAGCAGATTGGCACGAAAGAGAAGTAAAATTGTGCATGCAAAGTTTTATGCGTAACTATAAAATGAAAGTGAATTTGGATTTATTTATCGATCTTTAGAGATATGAAAAGATCGTAATTTTGTGAAGTAAAGTAATCTATTACCGAAACAACATTGTCATCCATATAATTAATTTTGAAATAGACAACAGACATTACATGTTCTTGTACAGTCAGCTGCAAAAATATGTATACAATTACAACACTTATAAACGCTTTCGTTTTTAAAAATAAGTATCCAAGAATTCGCCAATAGTATAAGTTTATGTTCAGACGCACATGCATACATGTTATTGAAACCGAAATGTATACAAGTTTCTAAAGCTTTGTAAATGTATACACATTTGTGCAGTTGACTGTACCGGCGCTTCGCAGTGGAAGCCTACGGTGATACGATCACGTGTTTAATATCATTACCATTTGTCAGGCGAGCCGGTCTATTAGTATAATAAGTCTATGATTGTCACATACTTTTTACGAATACGTGAAACGTGTCTAGTCGCTGTTTGCCGCTGTTCTATCTAATTTGCAGACTGCTAAACATTTTTTATTTACTTCCACATGTTCTCGGCTATTTGATTTAATAATTGCAAACACTCGACTAACATACAATATCCACTTATGCTGATTTTAGCGAAATATTACTATATCGAGTATAAATAACACTGTAAAGTCGAAACACGAATCAGTTATTTATTGCTCTGGTTTTGATTAGTCATATAAACGTATATGTTTTTATGTAATTCAAGATGGAGGATTTACATTTTATATACCAAAAGTGAGTTACATTAGTTTGTAAGTCATTTTCCATCAATTTTTATTGTATGTAACCTGCAAACCGTAAAAAGCTATCCGTTTGTATAGCCCAAGTAAGTTGTATAACCCAGTAGAAGTACATCGTATTGTCATCTCGTTTATTTTCAAAGATAACAACAGGGACGTTATTATATTTTTAACGTTATCGTCAGCTTATTGTTGAAAGATTTGTGTTGTTCATTTCAGACGCCGCATGCAACAACTGAAACTATGGCAACAGAGAGAGAAAGAGTGGGCTCGATCACGACCGAAGAGAGAGAAGAGTAACAAACGCAATATATACTTCAATGATAGTGTTATGCTATTAGAGGCAGCGGCAAGGAATGATATCGATGAAGGTAACTTTAATTTTACTCCGTTTAAACGTAGTTCAATCAACCGGAACACGTTTGAAACCTTTTTTCTCTTGTAAAAAGTATTTCTAGGTATTTTGTTTGATTGGAATTTGTTTTATTGAAATTTAACTGCCTGTTTCATTATCTTTGTCAAGTCCAATCAAGGAATCATCTACTGGTCACTAACTTAACATAGAAGCTATAAAAATGACTGTTCCATTAATTTGTGTTACTCTTAAAGAAGATGACAATTTAATTTATATTGATGTATAGTGTTGGTTAGAAGCGTATTACGGAAATATGTAAGTTATTCTGATCTAAGAATTCCATCATGCATTTAAATGTCGATTACAAACTAAACGCATGTATCGATGATCTAAGTCTAAGGATGTGTACTAAGAGCCTACACTATTTACTTACAATGTATTTTGATTTGATACCGTATTTACCAAGTGACATCCAAACATCAAAATCATTTTTCTCAATTTTAATATGAAAATGTGATTTTCTGGCATCACAATGTAAGAGTATTGATAGTCTTGATTGTCTTAAAGATTTGAACTTAAAATCTCAATTCAGATTGTCTTTTTATTCCCAATATTAATTAAACGGCACTTACGAAGTTTGAGATTTGTTTCAGAATACGGTTATTACTTTACTAAATGAGCAAACATCCTTAGCCTCATGCACACTGACATTTGAGTCATACAGAACATATTGAGACCTAAATAAAGTCATGTCTAGCCGTGTGGAAATAAAAGCAAAAGTGTTTTACTGTTATTTCGGTGCGGCTGAGTGCGATGTCCTTACACTACGAGGTCGTGTCACACATTCGTTCATTGTAAAATATATATCAATGTAAAATGTTATAAATATTTCTCATGCTGTTTATTCTGATCGTAACTAAGCCCAGTCTAGTATGACTTTGTATCTCGTTGAATAATGACGACTATTCTAATTGCATAAAAGACATTGACCTCCACAATCGTTCGAGTTTCATTACTTTTAACATTGGTAATTAGAATTCAAAGAAATAATTAATCATGCAAAAACTATTGACTTTATCGATTGCATAAATAATACTGTTAATTGTTAAGAGCTACGAAGAGTTTAGAACCGGCGCCAAGCATAAATGCCGTTAATTGTAAGGTTGAGAGCTATGAAGAGTTTAGAACCGGCGCCAAATTATCGCGTACATGTAATGAAGTCAACAATTTCTTAATAATTAATTTTCCTAAAACCAAATTCGAATAAACTTGTACCTAATTTCATGCTTTCTATACAACGAATTTCTCTAGTACCACAGATAGCGGTGTCGAAATTTATCAATCCGATCTTTTAATTTCACAATGTCCAACTGACCGTAATGGTAAAGTTTATGCTAATTTATCGCATCAATTCGTTACAGTAAGAAGATTATTGGCCAGAGGTGTAACCCCTGACGCTACCAACGAAGATGGGTTAACTGCACTACATCAATGCTGTATAGATAATAATGAAGCTATGATGCGGCTTCTATTAGACAATGGAGCGAATGTTAACGCAGAAGATAGTGAAAAATGGACGCCTCTACACGCGGCAGCTACCTGTGGCAACCTAAACCTTGTAAGGATATTAATACAAAGAGGGGCGAACTTATTAGCTGTTAATGGAGACGGGAATATGCCATATGATATTTGTGAAGAAGAAAGAACGTTAGATGCGATAGAAAGTGAAATGGCAGCTAGAGGAGTAACGCAAAGATTGATAGATGAAACCCGAGCGGCGACAGAAATGAAGATGTTAATGGATGTCGCAGAACTAGTCAAGGAAGGAATGGATTTAGATGAGCCTAGAGATAATCAGGGTGCTACTTTGGTAAGTAAACACATCTACACTATTGCATGATGGGTTTGGGAAGTGGTTTTTGCAGAGGAGAAAACGCACTGGAAGGGTTCTTATCCTCATTCTGCGTGTCCTTTGCTCTGTAATAGGTTGGCAACGCATCAGCATTTGCAGAGGTTTATTAGCAATGGTCGTTTCGCTATTCCGGCGAATTTAGATGACCACTTGCTCGTTTTCCACCCTATAAGATAAAAACAATAACATTTAAGTTTTCTAAAAGAAACTATTTTAGCTATAATTAGTAAAGAAATAAGATTTTTTTTTGTGTGTGCATGTATAATTTGATTTAATGTCATTAGTTCCGTGTACGTTAATTAGGTTAACTGATACGCGTATTAAAAAGTAATTTATATTCATTTAAAAGTTATCGCCGCTTAATATATCGATATAGCCGTGTCTAGGAGATTAAGAGCCTGTCCCACCAAATTGTAAATTGTCTGATAACAATCCAACGTGTAAAACAAATATCGGATTTTGTTGCTCAATCTGACAGTGACATTTTTAAGCTATCAGAGCCTCTATCAGCCATTGGTGGGACAGGCTTTAAATAAGATTGTTTTAGTAAGATGTATTTCTTACATACTTCCTGATGATTTGTACCTTGACAAAGTTTCAATAGCAATTATATTTTTTAACTACTAGTTCAAAGAATACAGATAAAAAATTCTTTTACCGTGATCATAGATGTGTGTAGATTTTGGCCTACTTATTTTTTTTTCTCCTAAAATTATTCCATAGTAGGTGTATAAATAGATTCAATTTACTATATCTTCTTAAATAATATGCCGTGTGTCACTGCAATAATTGTAATCACGTGCAAAATATGACGCGTTATGTATCGTTCTCAATAAACTTTAATTAATGGAACCTTCGTACAACGATATATATGCGCATTTGTATATTGTAATAAGATACACATTCACGAATAATTAGTGCTATTGGAAGGGAAGAATTAAAGAATTTATTATACTCAAATTATTATCACGTATGTTCTCTAAACTTACTTGCTGTTTTTTAATAACTTTTTTATATCTTAAGGTGGCAAACGAACAAGCGGCCACTTGAATCCGCCAAAATGGTGTAGTGACCACTGCCCATAGACATTCGCAATAGCGGATGCGTTGACTACCCTTAATCGACCTAGGAGGAAATGCACATAAAGAGGATATTTGCCCTTCCTATGCGTTCCCTCCAACTTCAAGTCCATGTTTCCTTCCTATTTTTTTCTTATAAGAAAAAGGGCGGGAAAGAAACGGGACTAAAGTTGGGCCTCTGGCAACACGCATACCTAGGATAAAAGGATTTGAAAAAAAAAAACAAATACAAGTGAATCAAAACATAATGCCATTGTAATTGTAATGTCTTTGATACACAAAATTTAACATATGATTATTATTCGTGGCAGTTGCACATAGCATCAGCAAACGGGTACCTGAAGGTGGTAGAGTTCCTGCTGGAGCAGCGCGCCAGCACCGACGTGGTCGACCACGACATGTGGCAGCCGGTGCACGCCGCCGCCTGCTGGGGACATGTGCGTACCATGTATTGTATATCTAATACTAATATTATAAATGTCAAAGTTTAGGTAGATGGATAGATGTTTGTTAGAGTTTGTAGCCTAAACGGCTGAACGGATTTCAATGAAATTTGGTTTAAATGTAGATGATAGTATGGAAGAACACATAGGTTACACACTTTTATTTTTTTATTCCAAGTGGACGGAGTCGCAGGCGTAAGCTGTGGCTCGCGACTTTGTCTGCGAGAAATTATATTATAATAAAAAATTATAGCCTATGTTACTCACTGATAACGTAGCTTTTCATGGTGAAAGAATTTTTGAAATCGGAACAGTAGTTTTTGAGTTATTTCAATACATACAAAAATCCAATAATACAAATTTTTCTTTTTTATAATATAAGTGTAGATTAGTATAGATTTATTGTCGATATGATAAGCCTGGAAATAAAAAAAATATAATGTACAGTGTAATTTGAGTTTAAGATTTGTTGCAGTTAGAAGTATTAGAACTACTGGTGCAGTACGGTGCGGACCTCAATGTACGCAACAAGCACGACGAGACGCCCGCCGGTCAGTTCATTAACACTTTTTATTTATATAATACAACATTGCCTACCTTAAATATCACAGCACACAAACCTTAATGCATATTCTACATACTTTAAATTTAAACGCCTTAACAAATAAACGCAGTGTAAAGTTCAACTGAGTATAACCAATACAATCAAAATTTTAACTAATATTTTTTTTTACTCAATTTATTCCTGAGTTTAACTTTATACCTCGTTTACTTGTAAGGCTAAAAGTCTTTAAATCTCTCGACAGTTTTCGTTAAATAATGCTACCAGTGGCCTATTGTTATATCTTAGAATTTTTTTATTGCTGTGCGGCTTCAAGAGATATAGCGAGGACGGTCCATCGACCTTCATTTAAAACAA